CCCCTCCCGGGCCCCGCCTCGCGCGCAGAGCGCGGCCGACGGCAGGGAGGGGGCTGCGCGCGCGGGCGCTTCCCACGCCTGGAGCCTCCGCGGCCCCGCTCGGACAACAGCCGGACGCCTGTGCGTGGACAGCGACCGGGGCTGCGCTTTGCCGGCCTGTCGGGCCGCGGGGCTCGACGGGGCTTTTTGTGACGTCTCAGCGGGGGGCGGGGCCGAGGGCGGGGCGCTGACCTGGGACGTGGGGCTCGGGGTGGGTGGTCTTCTGACCTGGACCTGGTCTTGAGTCAGGTACGAGGGCGCGATGAGTCCCACCCTCAGTTTCTTCACCTGTCAAGAAGAGCTGGGAATGTCCTGCAGAGTTGCCTTAGCCATGGAGAAAGGGGGAGAAGCGTGGGAGCTGGGGGTCCCCAGGCCCTGCGAGGGCGTGCCTCACCTTGTCCCTCGGAGCAGACGGGCAGGCTATGGGGCTGGATCCTGATGGGAGCGAGATCAGGGGAGGATCCCTGTAAAAGTCAGACTTGATGGGCCGCTGGAAAGTCGGGCAAAGACCCTCAGCAGAGGAGTTGGGAGAACAATGAACATACAGTCAGCATTCTTTCGGCAAGTGCTGGCTCAGAACTTGACCGTGGACAGTCTCACGCTTGCCTAACACCAAACTTTTGGGACTGAACCTCAATCCTGAGCTGAGCTCCAACCTCAAAACACATCTTGACCCCCATACTCCAGTCTGCTGAATCCCCGTCTTAGACCCATCTGAACACACTGCTCTGAATTCTGCTGAGCTGGCCGAATCAGAACCTGAACCCTAAACTCTAGCTCCTGACCCAGCAGGCCCTAACCCTAACCCTAACCCTGAACTCTAGCTCCTGACCCACCAGGCCCTAACCATAACCCCTCACTGAATATTGGTTCACCAGAGCCCACACCTGACTGACTCCCTGATCCTAGCTGTGATCCTGACCTGATTTCCGAATCCCAGATGTGCATTCTGGCCCTGGACATCTCCACATCCCTTTCCTGACCTGGGTGGTGGCCTGGTCTCCATCTTTCTACATCTGTCCCAGCAGGGCAGAGGGTGGGTGAAGGGCCCTGGAGCCTGTTCCCCTACCTTGCTGTCTTCTGCTCTGGCTACCCACAGCTGTATCAACACCGAGGCTTGGGTGACCTCTTCCCCCAGGTGGCCAGCTTCTGGCCTTATGAGTCAAGTGCCACAGCTTGGATGGCGAGACAGACCTGTCTGTGGCAAGGACATGCGAATGTCAAAGGTAGAGGAAGGAATCCACTGGTTTCTCATCTGAGAAGGGCTGGGCTACATGCCAGCATCCTCACGAGGAGCTGTGGGTCCCAGGGCTTCCAGCTAGCACTCTTTGTGACTGACTGTTCCCTCTGGGAACAAGGAGCTGCTGGGAGTACTCCTGCTGACCCTGGGTCAGTTAGGGGTTAGACGCACATGAGCCATTGGTAAAGTCACAGGATTTGTAATGAAACTTCCTGCCAGATTTCCCAAAGAGCAGCTATCCTACGTCAGCCCCACACCCTGAAGGAGGTATTGGGTGGGTGGCAGGGCAGTAAGGGAAAATGTGAACAAAGGAAGCTCCTTGCCCTCAGATATAGGGAGTGAGGTCATGACCAAGCAAGGAAACCAAAAGGCAGAAACAGGCATGGTGATGGCTGGGGTATCACTAGGGTGAGGACTTGGGGCAGGGTTGGTGGGCTGGGACTCATAGAGGTCTCTAAGGAGGTGGAATGTTCTGAGGATCTAGGCTGTGTGGTCTGGAGAATGTGACAGGGTGAGAAACAGCAGGTAAAGACACCAGATTAGAGACTAGTGTGCCAAGGAGGGGAGGAAAGAAAGGAGGTGGAGGGTGTCAGCTCACCTCACCAGAGAGACCTCTGTACAGGCCTGAGCACAGCATGCTCCCTCACTCTCAGGCCATGTCAGCTCAGCTCTCCAGTGCCCTCTCTACAGGTCTGGGGAGAGCGTGCCCCCACACTCTCAGGCCCTGGCCTTCCCTGCTTGGTCACTCATCAACACAAGTCCCAGGGCCTTGTTTCATTGGCTGACTGTAAGTCACATGCTTGTTCTCCAACAAATCACTGCAGCCCAGGGTAACTGGCATGCTCTGATTGGCTGGAGTGGACACAGTAGTGGAGCCAAGTGCGGTGTAACCACCAGGCTACAAAGAGGGCTACTGGGATGGGGGCCTGTTCCACCCTCTGGCTTCTGCTGGGTACCAAGGCCAGACACTTGGAAGAGGGCTGGCTGATTTCAGCTGTCTCGGTGGGGTCCTAGCATGCCCTTCAATAGTCCTCATGGCTGCATGGGGTGGTGTCACCCCGGGCTGGAGCAGGGCCTTGGTGTGAGGTGAACTTGAAGACGCTTGGCCACCAAAAGGTAATGAGAGCCGAGGACTGGGGGAAACCCCTGGATGGAAGCTGTTCCCGGAGGGGCTGCTTCCCGAGGGAGAAGCTTTGGGGGCCTCAGCTGCAGGGCAGGGCCTGATGATGCAGGACCCGACCTGGGTCGGGTCGCTAAGGAGGAGTCCAGATCCACAGAGGCCCTGGGGGTGAGGACCACCATGTGGTGGTCACGGCATGGGAGTGCTGGAGAAGGGCTCCTGGCCTCCTGGGCCTCAGCTTCCCCATGTGCAGAAGTCAGGCGTGTGTGACTGACTGCACATGCGGGCTCTGAAAGATGGCTGTTCTCCCCATGGCGAGCCTGGCACAAGGTGCTCGGGCAGGGCCCGCGTGCAGAGCACACAGCGCACACCTGAGCACACCTGGATGGGTTTTATTATTGCAGAGGGCATCTGCCAGGGCAGGTCTGGGTGGAAGGGGCTGCTGGTGCTCAGCTGCCTCCTTAGGGTGGGGGATACGAGGTGGTGTGGGCAGCCCCCACTCCTACATGCAGGGGCCCCTCCCTGGCCTTTCCAGCAGGTGAGCGTCCTGAGTTAGGGCTTCTAGGTGCGGAGGCAGGTGAGGTGAGGGGGCTCAGCCCACGGGCTTGACCTTGGCAATGAAGAGGGCGGCAGCCTTCTCCAGGAACTCCTCGCGGGTCATGGAGATGCCAGGCCGCTGTGCCATCACCGCGCGGTCCATGGCTAGCGCCAGGCTGTCGGGCCCTAGGCGCGAGCCGGCTTCCAGGTAATGTGCGGGCGCCGTGCTGGCGCTGTCGCCCGCCTGCAGCGCGCCCTCCAGCGTGTCCAGCACGGCTTGGCTCAGCCGGCGGTCAGCCGCGGCCAGCCCCGGGGCCTCAAGCAGCCTGTACAGGGCGCTGGCCCGCGCCACGAACTCCAGGAGCACAAAGCAGGTGCGCATGCCGGCGCGGAAGACGCCCAGCGGCACGGCCTCATGGTCCCGGCACTGGATCTTGCGCAGCAGCGGGGCCACCACGGCCTCGGGGGCCTCGCTCTCACGGCAGATGCGCCGCAGCAACTCGCTGTAGGTGCGGCCGTCCAGCCCGGGCTTCTTCTTACGCCCGCCCGCGCTCAGGCACTCGTAGGCCACGCCGACGTTGTTGTTGAAGGCGGTCCTACGGGAAAGGATGAGCAGAAGGGGGTGGGTGGGCCAGTGCCCCCAAGCCCGAGGGGCTCAGGACTTGGCCTGAGCTGTGCTGCCACACAGAGCTCCCCTCCCTCAGGACCACCTTTCCCTCCTCTAGTCCTCTTCACAGCATTGTCAGACAGGTTATAAGCATGTCCCCATAAGGATGTGGGCCCCGGGGCAGGGAGTCTCTCTGTACCCAAGAGGCGCTTAGCTGCCTGAAGGGCAGTGGTCCAGGCCCCAGACGTGACAGCTGCCTCCCTGTGGTGCCACCATCACTGGTGACTGCCTCCAGCCTGTGAACAGGTTCCACATGGCACAGCTGCTCTGGGACCCCCTTCCCACAGAGCTATCCATGAGTCACACCCCCAAACCATCCACCTTGCTGGTGTTCTGTGCTTTCAGTCACGAACCATCCAATATCAGCAATGAGACCCCTGACACAAAGGTGTGCCTCAGGGTTGCATGCTTTCACTAAACTCACACGGTCTACTGTTGTGTATCAGAGTCAGAACTGACCCATAGCTGACCCTCTGGCAGGTTTTCAGAGGCAGTTAATCTCATCAGAGGAGAATGGCCATCCTTCTCCCAAGGAGCAGCTGGTGGCCTCAAAACTAGGTGCCTTCGAGATTATACAGCACAGCTTCTTGCCACTAGGCCACCTGAGCAAATAATCCAAGAAGCTGGACTATATGAAGAATGAGGTATCAGGACCACAGACTTATTCACAATCTTCAATATGTAGATGACACAACTTTGCTTGCTGGACTTGGAACACTCGTTGATGAAGATGAAATCCTGTACACCGTGCTGCACTTCACAGGAAGGGGGAAGTCCTCACAACTGGACCAGTAATATGGTTAAGTGGAGAAAAGAAGAACTTGTCAACAACTTTTATTTGGATCCACAATCAACATCCATGAAAGCAAAAAGATGCATTTCACTGGGCAGGCCTGCTGCCAAAGAGCCCTTTCAAGGGCTGAAGAGGAGGCCTGCTGGCACGTGAGTTATATACAGACGACTAAGTAAAAGGGCAGTCTCAAATCTTCAGTCACTTCAAGTGAGAAAGATGGGGTAGGTCTGCTGTCATCAAGACTGAGAGCCTGAAAATGCGATGGGGGGGACCCTGCAGTTAGGGCTGACACCTGGGCAATGGGTCTAAGTGTTTAAGAGTAGATGTCACTCAGAGGACTGAGGTGTGCCTGACCCAGGCCATAGAATTTCCAGTGCGTGTGGAAGCTGGAGGATGAATAAGGCCAAAGAGTTGATGCCTTTGACTGTGGGGTTGAACATCCTGTGGCTTGCCAGAACAACGCAAGTCTTTCTTAAAGTGTAGTGGTAGTTCGTGGATGGTGGCAGTTTGCCTCATGTACTTTGGACATGTCATAAGGAAGGACCACTCTCTGGAGAAGCACATCAAGCATGGGAGAGGAGAGGGTCAGTGAAGGAGAGGAAGATCTGTGATGAGATGGACTAACTCGGTGGCTGCCCAGGAGGCGACGGTGAGCCCTGAGAACTAGCCCTGCAGAACTAGGCAGGGTTGGACCCCATGGCACCCAGCACACCACTGATGAAATCGGTCCTTCCACCCCAGCGCAAGCAGGTGCTGGCATAGCCCTGTTTCTGAGCAGTGGTGTGGGCTGCCGAACAGCCTGACGGGTGCCTCACCCCTGCAGCTCACATCCTTCACCAGCTGGCCTGCTAGGGCTGTGGCGTGCCTGGGTTTCTTGTGTCCATTACAATATGTAGGAACTGAGCTCAGGGCAGGACTCCAGAGGGTGGGTCTGATCCAGGGCCTCTGTCCATCCTTGAGGGCAGCCTGTTCGCCCGTTCTAGTGTGATGCCCTTGGCTGGTGTCTGAGGACGCCTAGGGATCACGCTGACCAGCAAAGCCTCGGTGCTCCAGGGCTCACTCCTCACTGCGGGGCTTGTGTGAGGATGCGTCAGCCTTGGGAAGACCTTTAGCCCCAAGTCCTGTGCCAAGGAGAAAGCCAAAGACCCAGGTGGGAGGTCAGAGGTGAGCAGCCCTCCCCTTTGGGGGTCAATTCTCAGCACTTGCCAGTGAACTTCCTCCTCAGGGAGTAAAAGTTCCCACCCAGGGGCCCATCAGCAATCAGCAGTGACACTGAGAACACTGCAGGAGAGGACAGACAGATGTAGCCTGAGCCTGAGGCAGCACAGCGCCTGTCTCTGTTCATCTGTGTGGCTCCCAGCAGCTCAGAGCCTGTGCAGGCTGACATTCAGGAGGACAGACCTGGGCCTAGTCATGGTGGTCAATTAAGCCAGCACCTGGGAGGACAGAAGAATGGTTTGTGATGTCCACACTTGGGAACAGCTGAGCTGGGTGAAGCTGGCTTTGGGTCGCCATGCTGCAGCGAATGGTCTGTTCTCTTCAGGGCAGTGTCCAGGAGTCAGACTGCTTCTTGCTGGTGGTGGACCTCAGCTCCCACCTGTGGTGTCTCTATGGGCCTGCGACCACCCCTCACATACACGGCGAGCTTCCCACAGCAAGGCTGGAGCAGCGCCCTTTCTGACCCTAGCCAGTGATTCTTTCTGCATGCCCTGTAGGAGGCCTAGGTCAGTGCTATTTGGCATGGAGGGACCCCAACAGGGTGTGAATACCAGACATGAAGACCATGGAAGTTTCTGGAAGACTGCTCGTACACAGCTCCTCCAGCCATTTCTCCACATTTCTGAAGTTAGGGGGAGCCCTGAAGCTTGAGTGCAGGTAAGGAGAGGTCCACTTCTGGTGTGGATTTTAACAGATGGGTGCTCTGCCCCAACCGTCTCCCCAGCAGCTGGTCAGCCCCATGGACTTCTCCCCATGATGTCTGTCTCCCTCTTCGAGGGAGCTGTTCACTGTCCACCCTCGGGCTTCCTCACTGCCTGCTGCCATCACTGTCTTTCCACATCTGCGGCCAGAGAACACCAGCCTCAGTATGCATGGGAGGGCACTGGACAGTGCCACCGGGCTCACAGGCCCCTGGACCCTCAGCTCTGCCCAGGCTGACTAACTCTGGGCTTGTCCAGCACGTTTATCATGTGCACTGGTGTAGTGAGGCAGGTGCACACAGGAGATCACAGCCCAGTGAGTCAGATGGTGAGGCAGTGCCCCACTGTGACTGCCAGCCTCACCTACCTCTCCAGGGGTTTCCCAGGCATGGGGGGGTCATCTCTAGGAGCTGTCCTGGGGACAGGGGGTTCCTCTGGGATAGGGGTCCACTAAGGAGGTACCTGCTCTGAGAGCTGAATCAGCAAGTGAGGGTGAGACAAGTCCCACGGTATGGGGCAGGCTGCCCCCTCAGCTCCCTGATGTGACTCTGGTCTCCGAGGTCTGGTGCAGGACTGGGCATTTGGCCAGAGCTCTGTGCAGGTCCTTGTCTATGCAGAACAATTTGTAAGGCACATGTGCACTTGTTAAGAAGAAAGGAGATATTTATCAAGTGTCACAGGAAGAGACGGGCTTTCCACACTGAGCCAGAGCTCTTTACCAGGATGCTGTGTCCCAGGGGACACTCAACAACATCCAGGGGTAGCTGGGGTGTCACAAGGTGGGGTGTGACGGGCACGCAGAGCTTGGGCATCAGGGAATCTGCTCAGCCCCATACAGTCACAAGACGACAGGCCACCCTGAGAATTCCTGAGTCCATGTCAGCAGTGTGGGGTGGGGGCACCCTGTGCTGGCAAAACACTGACAATTTCCTCCACAATAAATTCCTGCTGGGAGGATGATGTAATGAATGGGCCCTCCAGCTCTGCTGACCCTCTCCTCTCCACTCAGTGGGACCTTTTAGCCCAGTAGTTCCCAACTGGGGACAGTGGCAATGTCTTGGATGTGGGTTGTCACGCCTGGGGAGCAGGCGGAGGTCAGAGTGCTGCTCCACACCTCAAGTGCCTGAGGACCCGGGGATGTTTCACACCTCACACACTCCCCTGCCTCCGTGTACCCTGGGTCCCTAGCTCCTCTGTCCCCGCTGCCTCTGCTGGAACTACTTGGGCAGAGGCCCTGCTCAGACCCCGACCCAGCTCTGTCCTCCAGCCTCTCCACTCTGTCTCCTTGTAGACTGGGCCTGCTACTCTCTTGGGGGAGTCTGTCCTGGCCTCCAGGGCCCAGAACTTCACAGCCCCCCATCCCCTGCATCCCCATCCCTTTCTCTTTCTGCCAGGAGCACCCTCTATTGTGTGCCATCCAGTCAGAACCTATAGCTGACCCTCCAGGGGATTTTCAGGGGCTGGAAATCGCGCGTGAGGTCCGAACCTCATGCCTTTTGGGGGACAGCACAACTCCTATTAGGATCTCCCCATAAACCCTTGGTTCAGCTCCAGCCCATCCAGTCGCCACGTCCCAGGCCTGTCTGTGTCAACTAGCTACTCCCCAACCACCCAGCCAGATCCTCTAACACCACCACGCCCCCGCCAAACCGCCTGTCCCCCGGGACGCCCCTAACCCTAACCCCAGGCGTCACCAAGGTCGGGAGGTGGCCCTTCCTGACCTGGGGCCTTCCCCAACTCGGCCTGACGGCTCTACTGGAAGCATCTGGTGGCGGACAGGTGACTGGGGTGCACTGCAGCGGAGACCCATAAATATTCACTTTCTGTCTGAATGGCGGGGAGGCAGGAACCTGGGGGAGTGTCTTCTCCGGGCTCAGTGACTTTTAAAAGTGGGGTACATGGTAAAGGGGCAGTCAGCATCTGCAGAAAATCATCACCAAAGGTGAACCAGCCAGAACCACCCAAGTCCCACCGAAGACCTCAAACTCCAGGTCGATGCCAGGCCACAGCCCCAGTTTTGTTTACGCCCAGAAAACACGGCGAACTACAATCCCCAGCATGCTCCGCGCGCTCGCGCCCACCACACGGCCAGGGAGTAGCGCGGAGCTCGCTGGGAATTGGAGTCCCGTCACTGCTCCCCACCCGCCCAGACCCGGCCCGGGCCCGAACCTCTGGGAGTGGTGAGCCAGGCGAAGATGCCACAGCGCGCGGCCCAGGCGTTGCTGCTGTAGCAGGAGCTGGCCCGGGGGGTCCCCGGAGCCGCCACTGGCGGGTGAGCGCAGGCCCATGTTCTCGAAGTAGTGCGCCAGGAAGGCGATGGGCTCCTCGGGCCGCGTCTCTAGCACCTTCAGCAGGGCCGCTCGCAGCATCTCCGTCACGCCAGCCTGCCGCAGGAAGTCCTCCTCGCTCTCGGTCACCGCCGCCGCCCGGGACACCGACGGCCGGCCACTGTCCGTGAGACTGGCCACCGGGGCCACAGCCTGCCGCCGCTTCTCCACTGCCGCCATCTTCGGGGCGGGCAGCGGGACCGGAAGCACTGCCATATTTTGCAGTACGCCGCGGTCGCCATTTTTGTTGAGGGCACGGCGCCCGGGTTCCCGCTGAGAGCCCAAAACTCGCCAGGAGAGGCCACCCTTTTGCTTAGGTCCTAATTGGCACGCTTCAGTCTGATCCTTATGTGCGCACAGTGACGAGTTTTCTCGGATTTCGTCCGGAACCTGAATATTGCCAGTCTCCAGAATAACTACTTAGAAGCGCTTGATTTCTGGCATGAAGCTGGATGGCTGGCCATCTTGGCTGTGGGCAGAGAGGACTTCCGTGGCACAGTCTCCTAGCAACCAGCCTCCTCCCTACTCCTGGGGGACCGCTATTCGGTGTGCACGGGGATGAGGCCACTGCAGTCTGCGAGATTGAGCGCCACTCCCGCCCGCCCCGCCCCAGACCCTTTTCTGGATCTCCTCTCTGAGCTTTAAGCTAATCATTTCCAACCGATCTGACTTTATAGCTCAACTTTCTTGCGCCCACCCACCCTAGCAGCCTAGCAGTAGTGTTTGCAGGGGGACTGGGGAACCCCCATGCACTCTAGTTCCCACTCCAGATGGCTTCTTTTCCTGACCCTGTTGTTGTTGTTATGTGATATCGAGTCGCTTGAGACTCATAGCGACCCTATGTACAAGAGCTCTATACGCTCTTCTATCCTGTGCCAACCTAGCCATCTCAAACGCACTTATTCCCACCTCTCTAGTCACAGAATTGATCCATCTCATCAAAGGTCTTCTTCCTCTCCTTCGCCACCCCTCCACTCTGCCAAACATGATGTCCCTCTCCAAGGACCAGTCCCTCCTTGCAGCATTCTCAAAATATGTCAGACGAAGCTTCAGAATCCTTGACGCCAGGGAACATTCTGGCTTCACCCGCTCCAGGACAAACCTGTTTGTTCTCCTAGCAGTCCATAGTATATGCAACACTCTTCTCCAGCACCACAACTCACATTGTTGCTCTTCAGTACTCTTGAGAGGTCCCTCACAGACGACTTTCCCAATGCAATTCGCCTCTTGATTTCCTGGCTGCTGTTACCAAGAGTGTTGACCGTGGAGCCAAGTAAACTAAAACTTAACTATCTCAATCTCTTCACCATCCATACTGATGCTACCAATTGACCCAGTTGTTAGAATCTTTGTTTTCTTGATGTTGATCTTCTGCAGCAAGCGCTTCAGGTCCTCCTCAGTTTCAGCAAGCAGAGTTGTGTCATCTGCATAACGCAAGTTGTTGATGATTCTTCCACCAATCCTGATTCCACATTCCTGACCCTGAGCGCTCTAAAACTCGATCTTCTACAGCTCTTCCATAGAGATCGTCTTCCATAGCTACCCAGTGCCCTCTCTGCTGACCCAATTTCTAGTGGCTCTCCTGCCTCTCTCACCACGTTAATTCACTCTTCTGTGCTCATGCTGCCTGGATATTGCAGGTCATCTGGGGACTCCCAGGTGTTCTTTAACTGATCTCTCATTTATACCTTTCCACTGTTCCCTCTACCTGTCCTTTGAAATCTTCTGCTCAGCTTTTTTTTTTTAATTTATTTTATTTCATTATTTTTTGTGTGTACCGTCAAATCAGATCTGACTGGTATAGAAGGAGATTGTTCCTCCTTCTCCAGCAGAGCATTTGGTGGATTTGAACCATGCATCTCTGAGATTGTAGTTGCAGCTTCTTGCCACTAGGCCACCAGAGCTCGCCTATGCTCAACTTTTTAACTTTAACATCTCTTACCTTTGTTTTAGGTTTTTATGGTATAAGCCATGGTCATTGCAATCACTTGTTATGCGTCAGAGAGCTGGACAATGACCAGGGAGGATAGAAGGAGAATTGATGCTTTTGAGCTTTGCTGTTGGAGAAGAGTGCTGAGGGTACCATGGACTGCTAAGAAAACAAACAGATTCATTCTGGAGAGGGTTAAACCGGGCTTCTCCTTGGAGGCAAGGATTCTGAGACTTCGTCTGACATATTTTGGTCATGTTGTAAGGAGAGTCTGGTCCTTGGAGAAGGACATCATGCTTGGGAGGGTGGAGAGCAGGCACAGGAGGGGAAGGCCCTGTGGGAGATGTATTGATTCGGTGACTGGGGCAATAAGATGAGTGTGTCGGAGACAATGAGATTGGCACAGGACAGAGCAGAGTTTAGAGCTGTTGTACATAGGGTCGCTATGAGTCGCAAGCAACTCGACGGCACATAACAACCACCACCACCACCACCACCACCACCACCACCACCACCACCACCACCACCACCACCTTTGTTTTGGCTTCTGAAAGTGCAATTATCCAGGCCACTTCTAACATCCATTTTGGTGTGGGTTTTTTCCCCCCTCTCCGTTGTCTTTGTTGTGACTTTGTGCTCTCTTCATGGATAATATCCTTGATACCATCCCACAGCTCATCTAGTCTTCAGTCGTTGCTGTTCAGTGTTTCAAACCTATTCAATCTGTATGCTGAGCAAATTACTTAACAAGCTCGATTCTCTGAAGAAGAATGTGCCATCAGGATTGGAGGAAGACTCATTAGTAACTTTTGGTATGTAGATGACACAACCTTGCTTGTGGAGAGTGAGGAGGACTTGAAACACTTGCTGCAGAACATAAAACACTGCAGCCTCCAATATGGATTGCATTTCAATGTCAAGAAAGCAAAAATTCTCACCAGTGGACAGATATACAACATCATGATAGATGGAGGAAAGACTGAAATTGTCAATGACTTCATCTTACTTCAGTACACTTGTTACCAGCAGTCAGGAGTTCAGGAGATGTACTGTCCTGGGAAAATCTGAAGTCCAGGACCTCTCCAAATTATTGAAGAGTAACAGTGTTCATTTGAGGACTAAACTGCCTGATTCAGACCAAGGTCTTTTTAATCATCTGCTATGCATCTGAGAGCTGGACAACGAATAAGGATGTTGTTATGTGCCATCAAGTTGCCTGCAACCCTATGTACAACAGCTTTGAACCCTGCTCTATCCTGAGCCAATCTCACTGTCTCTGACACACATCCCTCCATTACCCATGTCACTGAGTCAATCCATCTCATTAAGGGTCTTCTTCTCTTGTGCTGTCTCTCCAACCTCCCAAGCATAATGTCCCACTTCAAGGACTGGTCCCTCCTGTCAACATGCCCAAAGTATGTCAGACGAAGCTTCAGAATCCTTGCCTCCAAGGACTAGCCTGATCTCACCATCTCCAGGATGAACCTGTTTGTTCTCTTAGCAGTCCATAGGATATTCAATACTCTTCTCCAGCACCACAGCTCAAAGGTATCACTTCTCCTTCTATCATCCCTAATCACTGTCCAACTTTCTGATGCATAGCAAGTAATTGCAAAGACCATTGTCTGGATGACAGAAGAAAGATCAATGTCTTTGAGTTGTGGTGTTGGTGGAGAGTCCTGAATAGCTCATGGACAGCCAAACGAATGAACCGATATGTCTTGGAGAAAGTGAGCCAGAGTGCTCCTTGGAAGGAAGGCTGTTGAAGCTTCATCTTGCAGACTGAGGGCATGCTGCTGGGAGAGGCTATTCCTTGGAGAAGGGCTTTTGAGAAGTGGGAGGACAGCAAAGGAGAGGAAGGCTCTCAACCAGGTAGATTGATTAGCACAGTGACTGCAGCAATGGGCTCGAGTGTGTCAGAGGTTGTGAGGATGGCACAGGATAGGACTGGGTTCAGAGCTGTTGTTCACAGGATTACTATGGGTCATACTCGATGGCACCTAAGAGCCCCCTTGCCCTCCCCAGCCCTGGTGCAGAACCCAGGCATCTGTGTCCACCTGTCTCTGGGAAATCGCCCTGTGCAGGGGTCATTCAAGCATCTGCAAAAGCCTAGAAAATGACAGAGACCACTGATGCTCAGGCCACAGGTGCTTTATTTCCAACTTGTGCCTGCAAAGGTGGGGGCCCCAGGGCCTGGTGTCTAGGCCATGAGGACGTGGGGTGGACTGTCCACCACACACTCTTCAGAACTAGGAAAATGTCCTGCGTGCTGGCCCTCCAGGGGCTAGGACAAGCAGATCTCAGAGGACGTGAGCAGAGCGTGTGGCAGGACTTATTTCAAGTGGCCTTGTTGCCGCCAGTCTGGTGGGCAGAGAGGATCTGGGGTCCTCATCTCACGGACTGGAAGCACCTCCGCAGGCGGCAGGCGAGGAAAGCCAGAAGGAGCAGCCCCAGCACCAGGGTCCCCATCCACAAGCCTGCAGACAGCTGGATAACTCTGGGCTCTGGGTAGAGTGGGTGAGTGGTCAGGGTGCTGGCCCGGCCCTGCAGGAAGAGCCTGCTCGTGCCTGAGTGTGACAACCTGGCTGCTCAGAGGATTTGTGGTTTGTCTTCTACATCACCCTGAGGCCCCCCCAGTGTGGGAGGGGGTCTAGTCAGATGCCCTCCCTACACTCAGGTGTCTGGAGGTGGGAACACCTCGTGTGGCACAGGCTGCATCCTCAGGACTGAGTGTGAAAAGTAAACAGACCATGAGTGTGTTGTCAACACTTTCTCTTTGTTGTTAATGTCAAAATGATAATTTGGTTAAGTTGGGCTCAGTAAAATAGGGTCTCAGAAGCCCCTCCACCTGTTCCTCTGCTGGTTTTTGAGCATGGTGAACAGAGCACTGAGGGTGCCGTGCTGCACAAGGAAGGGCACTCTCCTCCCCTAGAATTGGCAGCCATGGAAAGCCCTCTGGTGGGTTAGCTCTGAGTCGGTCCTGACTCCAGGTCATTTAGCGTGCCCCCCGTGGCTGTGTACTAGTCTGTTGCACAGGCTGACCTGACGCCAAGGTTTAGAGCACATGAAAGGCTTTGAAGTCTGTTCAGCCTCAGGAGTTTACAAAAGATTCTACAAGAATCTCTCAGTCAGTCTCAGGCCACCAAGACTTAATGACATCGGGTAACTCTGCGGGTGTATCGAGAAACTGAAGTGGGGCAGGTAGACCATGTCCAAGGTCTTGGTCCGTGATGGCCTCCCCACTCATTCTCCTCCCTTCTGCCCCATCATCCATCCTCCCTAGACCTCAGAACTTACCGCTGTTCAGGAACAGGTTGGCCACTGTGCCCCCCGGGTCCACACGGCACTGGAACCAACCCCTGGGGATGTGTCCAGCTTGTCGCACTCGAAGCCAAGCCTGAGGCCCTGCCTCCTGCAGCTCGTAGACTTCTAGACCACCAGGGGCCTGGGTCCAGTGCACGGCCGTGCCTGGGGGACCACAGGCCACCTCACATAACAGCTCCCAGGAGACCTTGCTGTCGGCCAGTGAAGGGGGCTGGTGAATCTCGGGATGGCAGGGGCTGAGGTGGTTGGAGTCCTGCTCTGGGCTGATCAAGGTGGGAGCTTCTGGAGCGGCTGTGCTGGGGGGCTCCACTACAACCGTCATGGGTGACTCTTGGCTGGTTGATGTAAAGGGCTTTTGAGAGGTGGAGGTGGGGTGCTCCAGGGTGGCTGATGTGGATGGCTCTGGGGTGCCCAGACTGTGCATGACTGGAAAACAGAATTGTTATGTCTTCTCCGGCTGCCCATCTGGACTTCTGCCTCAGTCTCTACATGCGGATGGGAAGCCTGAACCCCCAAAGCCCTTCCCTGTACAACAAGCACTTCCCTGTGGCCAGGGTGGCGTCTTCCCTCAGGGCCAACTCACTCACAGTGGCACAGAGCCACTGCACAGCACACACAGGCACACACGCATGCCTGCACAGTTTCCTCAGCTGTGAAATGGGTTGAGCGCCCTCCTCACCTAGAGCGAGGTGGGTATTGCTCCTTAGGGTGGGGCAGGATGGCTCAGTGACCTGATGTTCAGGCCCATTGTACAGCAGGGGAGACTGAGACCCTGGGGGTCCATCTGGTGCAACATCTTCCAGACCCTGCTGTCCCAGGTACCCCCTGCTTGGTCCCCAGGTACCATTGCTGCTAAAGGCCCAACACTGGGAAATCATCAGAAGGGAGCTGTTTCTTCAGTGAAATAATATGCTGGAGCTGCATGCCCCCCATGGCACCCTACTTCCTACCACAAGCCTGCCACCTCTGTGTGTCCCATTGCATCTCCTATGCCTACCACTGTGGTAATGACAGAAGAATGGGTCACACAGTGTGTCAGACCTCAATGTGAAGCATCAGAACCACGAGCCAGAAGGCAATGTGTTTGTGCACATGCACTTATACACACACAGAGGCATGCATGCCTGCACAACACACACACACGTGCACACGCAGGCACACATGCATGCTTACATAGTATATAGGCACACATGAATGCCTACGCATCACACACATATAGGCATACATGTCTGCCTGCACAGCACACATACACTCGTACACACCCACAGGCACACATGCATGCCTGCACAGGACACACACACACACACACATGCACACACACGCACACACACACAGAGGCACACATGTATGCTTGCACAGGACACACACACAGGCACACATGCATGCCTGCACAGGACACACACACACACACACACACACACACACATGCATGCCTAAACGTCACAGGCACACATGCGTGCCCGAACAGCACACACACATGTGCATACACAGGCACACATGCATACTTATATAGCATGTAGGCACACATGAATACCTGCACAGCACGCATACACAGAAGCACACATGTATGCCTGCACAGCACACACGAACTCGTGCACACACAAAGGCACAGATGCATGCCTGCACAGAACACACAGGCACACATGCATGCTTACATAGCATGTAGGCACACATGAATGCCTGCACAGCACGTACTCACACAGGTACACATGCATGCCTGCACAGCACACACAGAGACACACATGCATGCTCACATAGTACACAGACACACATACATGCCTACACAGCACACACACACAGGCACACATGCATACTCACAGAGGCACATACGCATGCCCCACAGCACAAGCACACACACATGCAAACATGCAGGCATTCACAGAGCACACAAAACATGCACACACACATCTGAACACAGACATCTATTCATGCTCACATAGCACACACACAGAGGCACACATGCATGAATACACATGTTCATAAACACACATGCTCACACAGCACACACA